ATGTTTTTTTTTTAACTGATGTGAATTTAAAAAAAATCTAAACAGGCAAACTTATCCTGTTTGGGTGATTATTGAAATGAAATGAAAATAAAACCTTACAGCGAAATATGGTTTATTATAAGCTGCACTGCATGATCCAACTAAGGTTTTTGTTGATTAAATGTTAATGTTTGATTACATTTTGGGTCCACCCTTGGTATGAGTTCAGTTTAATCCATTCTTTTTAAACAGTGTTTTCATCTGGGTCAGAACTAGGATTGGATTTCCAAATCTAATTCAAGTGTGACTGTCCTGTTTTGTACCTAAAACTTTGTTATTAATCAAACGTTTCGGAATAAAACTACTTTTCCATTGAAGGTTAAAGAAAGCATTTTTTTTACTTTTCTAAATTTCAGAACCGTTCTTTTTTTTTTTCTACTGAAATAAAGGATGAGAGCTATGGTTGCTACCCTACAGCTTAGTACTATGGGGTTAGAACCTCTTATAAGATAAAATATTAACTTTATTGATCTCCCAGTGGATGAATTCACTTTCATATCAGCTCAAAATTCTCACCAACTTATTTTTTGTTTCATATATTCCACTACTAAATATAGATATTACAGCATCGCACAGCTGATTTTGCAGCACATCATTAAACAGCATCTGTTGTTCCACGTTATCTCTTTGTGAATTACAGTCTGAGGTTTATGCTCGCAGTAGCTGACAGGAATGTTAATCTGTGGGATCCTCTGCTGCTGTAGCTGATCTACTCCAAGGTTCCAGGTGTTGAACACCCAGAGATGGTGATCTTTTGATGGTACAATTTTAGCTTTTCTTTTGCATTCCCTGGTATTATATACTACATATTTGTTAAACATGCAAAAAAAAAAAAGGAGGCACAGAAAATGCTTTTGTTCCTCAAACATTTCACTAAGTTTGATTGACCCAAAGGCAGAACTTGTCTTTATGCCTTTTAGTTTGGTTTAAACACATCTTGGATGAAGAAACACATTTATTTTGAACCAAAATTCAGAATGTCTTTAAATATATTTTGTACATTGTCCTCAAAATGCCCCGTGGGGGAAATAAACATTATCAAAATACAGAAGTTACAACATTTTTATAGGCTGAGGACATTTTACATAAATTTAATCTTAATGAGCACCGAAATTTATAAACCGAGTTAAAGGAACGCCTGAACTAATTTGAAAATATTCCTTTATGAATCACGAACATATGGCAAGTATTGCTTTTTTTCCTTATGCTGATTAATTTCTAGCGTTAATCTATAAACTACTCAGTGGATAACTTCATTGTTAATAAGAAATTAACTTAAACATTTAGCTGGGTGTCGTCTTTAAAAACTTATTTTATTGCAGATGTGTGTCGTGGTTTGAAAATGTAAAATTTTCTTGTGTTTAATATATTTAGTTATGCTATTTATCCTGTGAAAAATGTTTTTATCCAGTCTGTTGCACCTGCAAGGCCCCAAAAAGGTGTTTTGCATACAAGGAATACTTATTCCATAACAAGCCAAATTCTTTCTCAAGGATTTCTACTGTTTAACCAAAGTGTGTGTTGTGTTTTGACTCTGACACAACCTTCACAGCTTTTTCCTCATAAGGGAGATAAACTCTGTCTAGATCAGAACAGGGTGGATTACAGCAAAAGGGCTGTATGATGAACTGTTCTCTCTTTGCAAAGATATAAAAACAACTTGCTGACTGAGTGAAATCCATCGATCTTCATTTATTTAACTGGGCTAAATAGTTGAATACTTTTCTTTCTACTACAATTTAAAACTTTAAGCTGAGACTAATTTAACGACACAGGTCTGACTGTAATAATGAAAAAAAGAGTCATGTGACCTATTTCATTTATACATTTACTGTTCTGCAAGGAAGATTAGGAAGATAAAAATGCTCAACTGCGATAAAAATGTAAATAAAAATATGCACTAGAAATGATAAAACACAATGAAATCAGTTTTTATTAAAATCTCTTTTTATTGCTGGCAGTTAGAAGATGACATGTTAACAAAAGCTTTCAGACACTGGATATTAGTAATTAATCGAATAATGCATTATGTAGATTATGTAAGCAGAGGCTTAAAGTAAAACTTTGTGTTTTTTAAATCCATAATATCATCGTCATCTTTATTTATGTAGCGCTTTAAAACAGCTACAGGTGAAAACAAAGTACTGAACATAGCTAAAAATAATAAAACACAATGAAAGAATAAAACACAGCATAAAAATATTAAATAGGGCAATAATAATAAAGCTAAATAAACAATTTAACAACAACCAAGTTCTGCCAATGTTAAAAGCCAGTGAATAAAAGTAAATCTTGAGTTGTGTTTTAAACTTGGCAGGGGAGGAGCCTCCCTAGTGTGCAGCAGGAGGCTACTCCATAAACGAGGAAAAGTGATAGAAAAGGCACCTCTGAGGTTCCTCTTAAACCTCAGTACCTGCAGGAGCTGCTGTTCTGCTGACCTGAGAGATCGAGGAGGCAAGCAGGGGTGAAGAAGCTCTAAGAGGTAAGATGGGGCAAGGTCATTTAGGCACTTAAATACAAAGATAAGAATTTTAAAATCAACTTTAAAATGCACAGGCAGCCAGTGGGTTGAGGCCAGGACAGGGGTGATGTGATCGTACAATACTTTGGAGTTACAGTTAAAAGACAAGCAGCTGCATTTTGCACCAGCTGTAAGCTATTATAATACGGTACTATGATGTATAACATGAAAAACAAAAGTTCTCTCTGCAGAAAAGTGTCCTAACAAAAATTAAAAAATTACTTTAACAGTTTACTTTGACTACTGATACAAACATCTATGAGCAGAAATAAACATGAAATCCTTCATACAACAACAACTGTATCAGTGGGACCAGTTTTCCTTCATTTTCCCAGAGATGTGCCTGAGTCACATTTAAACTGTTCAGACACTGAATATTAGCAGATTATACATTAATATAAAATATAACAGACTTGGATACTAAATAGAAATTTGTAACATAACAGGGATGACATGAAACACAGAAAGGACGTAGAAAAAGTGCTTGAATAAAAAATAAATTAAAACATGCAGAGAAACACACATTTGCTACATAAATTAATAAAAATTTAAAGCCATTAAATCACATAATCAATGTATTAAACTCTGGAAATATATATTTAAAAAGGCTTTGATTATGGTTAACTTTTTTCTCCACATAAAGATGCATATAATGCTCACTGGTCATCCTTTACTTTTACTGTAGCTGTTTTCCTTCATTTTCCTCCAATCAGTCAGTGTCTGAGACTTAAAGTGCTTCATGTTTACAATCATGCTTGGGGCAACAACGTAGATGGACATTTGGATTAAATCAAATCTTGTGGGAAAAAAAAAAAATCATTCAGTTTATTATACTGCATACTTCATGTTTGCTTCTTGTCCTATTTTTTAAAATGACAGCAGGTCAGTATAGTAGTGCGATACAGTTGGGATCTAAGGACTCTGCAGGTATTAAACTGATGTAAAACATCTGGCTGAACATTGATGAGATGATTCAACCAAAAGTATGTTCATTTTGTTTTACCCTGAGAAAATCAGCATCATGTGCTTCCATTCTAAAGAAACCATACTATGTTATAGTTTTACTCAGGATTAACTAAAGTTGAATTTCTACTGTCTTTTTTAAATGTTCCTTTCATGATTTTGAATGTAACATCAGTTAATAGGAGCCATATCTAAAGTTTGGCACCAATGAAAGGAATATATCCTGTATTTTAATTGCTGTTTAAATGAGAAACTCTGGCTGCTTCCACTAATATTTAAAGGTCAATTCTTCCTATTATGTCTGCTTTGATTAGTTAGTTCCTCGTATAACGTATAATCAGGACAATACCCATGATAACCATTAGCATTATTGTCATCAGGACTGGAAGAATTAAAGGCCACCCTGAGGAAAGAAGATGAAAAGTTTCTCAACAACAGATCAAAGTGGGAAAAAAAACAAAACCTGAAAATCTGAACATGAACTTACTGCAACCTCTGTGAGATGTTTTCGATTGTTTTTCCAAACCTGATAAAAAATAAACAGAAAATCACAAACAGTTCTGCAGTTCATGAACAAAGCTGAGGGATATGAACCTTCTCTACAAATCTCTGCATCTCTGAGTCTCTAGGAGCTCCTCACCATCAGCACCAGTTTTTCCAATATTAAAAAACATTTAAACAATCGGGTACGTACTTGCAAATACTCAAGAGGCGAATTAAGATTGTCTAACAGCATGTCTACAAAATCCGTTCTGTCTCCACCTTTGATCTAGTGTGGTTTAGAATTAGCTGCCTAATCAGTTTGACCATATTTTTATAATTGGAAACAACGGTTAAACTGAAGTGTTTCTGTTTTCATGGTCATGACTCTAACTTGCTGATTTGTCTGTTTTTCAGTTGTTCGTATTCTGAGCTTCTTTCCAACACTGCTGAGCTTTCATGCCTTAAAGGAAAATGAAAAAAAAAATAAATAAATGAACTAATGGGATAAAAGGAGCAAAAAAATATGATTTATAATGTTCAGAAAAATAAACAGTATATACCAAAGCAGCAGAGATTGTAAAAAAAAAAGGCAATATATCTATCTGTATAATGGAGGAATAGAAATTAAATACTTACTTATACTGAAAGTAGCATCTTCCTGTGAATAATAGAAGAACAATTATATAAAATAAATCAGCAAACAAATGTTAATGTGATTTTACGTTTTAACAGATGTACCTTTGGTGAAAACGTAGAAGCAGGCAAACACCAATGAAGAGAATATTCAATTCCTGATTTTGTCAGGAAGGGACTATAGATTATAAACTTGCCAAGTTTCTAAGCAAGTCTTAAAGACATGGCAACCCCTGCATATGGAAAACAAGCTGTTCTGTATTTTCTCATTTTACAACTACAAAATTAATGATTTGTAGAGCAAAGTGTAGACCAAAACAAGATGTGTAACAAGTGACACCTCCTCTATCCCAGCTGCAAAAACACCGCATCCTGGCTGCATTTGTAAACAAGAATAAATTCTAAAGAAAGTTGTATCACAATAAATATCGCTTTTGTATTTTTTTGCCTACTTAATGGCTGCCCTGTAAGCATATACTTAAATTGACCAATTTATTTTCTCTTATGTTTTTCTCACCATCGCTGTCCATTAAGCTTTAACAACATTAAGCTTCTGGACTACATATTGTAGAGGGAGGGTAAGAGGAAAAAAAACACCATGGCTTGCAGTGAAAACAGCAAGTAATTTATTTATTTCAAACATACACCTGTATCAAAAGCAGAAAAAACAGATCTGAAATTGCTCCACACCTAATAAAAAACAATTGGTATGTGCAAGTTTTATTCAAAATAAAGTCAGAAATAAGCAATAAGCTTGAGTGGATAACCAGAGTAAAGTAAAAAAAAAAAATCATGCAAAACCAATAAATATATATAAAACAAGAACAAAAAAATCCAGGCCAGGAATTAAACCAATAACCTTCTTGCTGCTAGGCAGCGGCACCCACTGTGCCACTGAGCAGGCCTTCATAAGAAATGTTTCATTGAATTTCATAAAGGGACTAAAGTGAACCTTTATATGGGTACATTTTTTAGTAGTCCAAAACTGATTAGCATTTCTGTCATATTTGAAATAACAAAAACAAACAAAAAAAAGTAACCAATCAAAATAAATGTGCATTTCCCTACACATTGAAACTTATGGAAAGCAAATGCTTCCCCCTGAGATGTCCCTGGCCAAATATAGTAAGAGCAAACTTCGACATAATATGCAGTAGATCTAAACTTCTTTCTCAATATAACACTTGTTAAAATTAATCACAATTTTCAATCGCTTCTATCAATATTTTATATTCTTATCACTAAAAATGTTCTTGGATTGTGTAAAAAACAGTTGCATAACTATAGGGCATAATTCAATTGTTTATAGTGTGTTCTCTTCAGTTAGTACTAATGTAGCCTTTATGAGGGGTAAAAAGATATATTTCCTTGTTAATAAAAAAAATAAAAATAATTCAAGGTGATAAAACTAAGGCCCTGTTGAGATTTATACTTTGTCAATTAGCATCATTAGCAAATCTGGAAAATATTCTAAACACGATTCTGTGGTGTTTATTTTGGATAATCAGAAAGAATTAAGCAGTTCCATGTTGATCCTGATGGTCAATTTATGCCAAATCAATTTTTTTTTTGTTTTCTTTGTAGAGCTAAAGCAGTGCATACACAATAGACTGACACAACCTGCACAACCTTACAACAAATGAAAACATGGAGGATGTTCAGCTGCACCAAAAACAACAAGTCTGTTGAGAAATTAAAATTATTGTTAATGGTAATCGTTTTGGATTATTTACTTATTAACATACCGTAAATTCTCT